GCGATGCAACGAGGGCCCCGCCTGGATCAACGTGCAGGCTCCATCGTTGCAGTTGCTGCGAACGTTTCAGACGAATAATCGTCGCGCAAGGTCGACCGACCCACGTTGAAAGCCATCCGCCCACCACTCTTGGGTCTGTTGCAAGCTGTTCAGCCGATGTTGCGCAGACGAATGCGCGCGGCGCGAAGGCGAGAAACCACGTTTGAAAACGACCCCGCCCCATCGTTGTACGCGTTGCAAATCCCAGGCTTCATGGTCATCAGCAGGTGAGGAGGTCTTAGGCGAAACGCTCCGCCAGCCTTGCCGACGCGCCTGGGCGTGCGACAGGGAGACTTGGGAGGGCCACGTTAGACCCAGGATGCATCGACGATGTTGCAATTCACGACCCTCCTCGGGAGTCCCAGAAACATGCGATATGGCAATGGCAAACGATCCGCCTTCAATCTTGTTGTAGCAGTTTCAGATCTCAAGCATCAGGGCCGCAAGCGGCGGAGAAATCCTAGGCGGAGCGCCCAGTCAACCCTATCGACGCGTCTGGTTGCGTGGCGAGGGTTGCCAAAAAAGTGGGGAAAAGAGACACGGAGGCGGCAGAAAGAAACCAAATAACTTGTAATTGAAGGGGGGCGGGGGGACGGGAGGAGGGACAGGGATGAGGGGAGGAGGAGAAGAGGAAGGAGGAAGAGGAGGAGGAGGAGGAAGACGAGGAGGAGGAGGAGGATGACGACGAGGACGACGAGGACGACGAGGGCGAGGACGAGCACGGGGACGAGGAGGAGGAGGATGAGGAGGAGAGGGGGGGAAAAGGAGGCGGGAGGCGGGAGTCGGGAGGACGCAGGGGGGAGGAGGGAGGGGGGAGGAGGGAGGAGGGAGGAGGGGGGAGGGGGGGAGGGGGGAGGGACAAGCTATGTGCGCTCGCGTCATATCTTACGTCCTACCCCACCCTTGTCGTAGCGGACCTGTGGCTCCGCGCGCGCGTGCGTATGTGTGGTGTGGTTTGTGTGCGCGTGCGTGCGCGCGGCTGTGTTGCGTGGTTGTGGTTATGGTTGTTGGTTTGGTGGTGGTGGTGTGGTGGTGGTGGTGGTGGTGGTGTGGTGGTGGTGGTGGTGGTGGTGGTGGTGGTGGTGGTGGTGGTGGTGGGTGGTGTGTGTGTGTGTGTGTGTGTGTGCGCTTTTTGTGTGTGCGCGTGTGTGTAGGTGTGCGTGGTGAGGCGTTTGGTGAGTTTGGTGGTGTGAGCCAGGTGCCGGTGCGTGCGTGATGGCGGTGGTGGTGTGGTTGCGGATGGTGGTGGTGGTGGTGGTAAGGTTGGTTGGTGGTGGTGGTGGTGTTTGGTTGGTGTTGGTGGTGGTTGGTGGTGGTGGTGGTGGTGGTGGTGGTGGGGTGGTGGTGGGGTGGTGGTGGTGGGTGGTGGTGTGTGTGTGTGTGTGTGTGTTGGCTTGTGTTGTGTGTGTGTGTGAGTGTGTGTGTGTGTGTGTCTGTGTGTGTGTGTGTGTGGTGTGTTGTGTGTGTTGTGCGCGCGTGCGTGCGTGCGTGCGTTGCGTGCGTGCGTGCGTGCGTGCGTGCGGTGCTGTGCGTGCCGCGCACGTGTGAAGTGGAAGTGCGTGCGTTTTTTTTATCGTGCTGCGTGAGTGCGTGTCGTTGGTGGTGTTTGAGTTTTTTGCGTTGTGTGCCGTGTTTGTGCGGTGCTGTGCGTGCGTGCGTGCGTGCGTGCGTGCGTGCGTGTGTGTCTGTGTGCGCGCGTGTGATGTGGTGCGACGCGGTGTAGCGTGGTGGTGGTGGGTGGGGTAGTGGGCTGGTGGTGGCGGTGCGCGTGCGTGCGTGCGTGCGTGCGTTGGTGGGTGGACGTGGCGGTGGGCGGGGCGGGGCGCGGTGCGGTGGTGGCGGGCGGATGGGCGCGCGAGAAAGAGGCCCGCGCTGGGGCGAGAACGCCATCCTGAACGACGGAGGCAAAACACCGATCCGAAAATGAGACCCACGCTGCAGCGGGAGCACGATTCGGAACGAGCGGGGCCCGAAAATGAGGCCGGCGCCTCAGCGAGAGCAGCATTTTGGAAACAAATGCAGGCGAAAATCCAACTCCCGGGAATCCTGTGTGTAAAAAAGCAGGACGCGGGGGGGGGGGGCGAACACTCCCAGCACGTCATCAGGGGAAGGAGGAGAGTAGTATTCATATTGAGTAATTGTTGGAGGAGGAGGAGGAGGGCGAGTGAGGAGGAGGACGAGGGAGGGAGGAGCGAGGGAGGAGGAGCGAGGAGGGGGGAGGGGGGAGGGGGGAGGAAAGAGAGAGGGTGGGCGAAAGATGAGGGAAGGAGGAGGAGGGAAGGGGGGAGGGGGGAGGGGGGAGGGGGAGGGTGGAGGAGGAGGAAGGAGGGGAGGAGGGATGAGGGTGAGGGAGAAGGGGGAGGGGGAGGGAGGATGGGAGGAGGGAGGAGGGAAGAGGAGGAGGGGAGGAGGGAGGAGGGAGGAGGAATGAGGGCGGAGGGAGAATACTAGTAATAATACACATAATCATACTACTATGAATACTACTAATAATAATACAAATACTAATAAGCACGAACGCATCATTATTATTACGATTAGTCGCACGAATCCTAGTACTAATACTAACAATACGATGCAGAGTAATACGAATGATAATGCTACTCCGAATAATAGTAAGAATACGACGAAGACGATTAATGCTACTCATAATACTGACATGTGTAATAGTAATAGTAGTCGTAATAATGATACTACGAATATGAGCGTAGTCGCCAGGGTTAGAGCATGACGAATAATACGGATATTTCGACTCGGAAGAATGATAGTTCGAACGATGGGAATAAGTAGAAACATCATAATACTACGACGAATCATATTACGAATGCCAGTAAGACAAATAATAACCATACGAATACGAACAATACTTATAATCATACGTTCAAAGCTGTTAAGACTAAGAATAGTAATATCACAAATGTCTACTACTAACAAGAGTAATCCTAGTACTAAGAATCATTATCATAATAATACTAAGAAGAAACAGAAAAAGGAGGAGGAGGAGGAGGAGGAGGAGAGGGAGGAGGAGAGGGAGGAGGAGAGGAAGGAGGAAGAGGAGGAGGAGAAGGAGGAGAAGGAGGAGAATGAGGAACAGGAAGAGGAGGAGGGAGGAGGAGGAGGAGGAGAAGGAGGAGGCGGAGAAGGAGGAGGAGGAGGAGTAGGAGGAGGAGGAGGAGGGAAGGGAAAGGCAATATTGGCGCCCGTGACTGCCACGAATGCACCGCCCCCGCATGGCGAGGTTCACCGGACGGAGTGTGATTCCTCCCCTCGCTGTTTCGGGGGCCGTCGCCCCTGTGGACGAGGGCATGCGGGGATACATGTTTTGCTTGGGCTATATTAGCACCCCTGATCAAGCCAGGACTCGAGCACACATTCACAGTGGGGGAAGGAGGATACCACTCTTGGGTGGTAGCCCTCCAGCCAGTCGAGGCGGCACGCTGGCTCCAGTCTCAGTGTGCCCAGTCGGCGGGCACATTGCACCAAGGAGCTGGTCGTTCGAAGCACCGTATCGCTCACAGGCCTGGCAGATAAAGGACTCTCCTGAACACGGACAGAGCGTGTCATGGACTCTGGGCGCCGTATGATGTTTCACGTCGATCGAGCAGTCTTGATCGATTTGGCCCCAGTGCATTTTTCATGTCATGAATTCCACATGTTGCCACGCGCAGCTCCAAAGGAGCGGCGGCACTGTATGCACTGAAAACTGATGCCCTTCAACCGCGGGGCGCGGTTTGTTGAGACAAGGCGTTGGCGGCACGTGAAATCAGACAGCAGAGCTTCAGGGCGAGAAGAGGTACCCCAAGTCAATTAGACGAACAGCATCAGGAGGACATCGTCGACTATTTTGGATGATTGTGGTGGTGAAGGCAGTGACGGTGGTAGCGATGAGAGATGAGATATCAGAAGTTGTACGATAGTGATGATGAGTAGGAGGTGCGGGAGTAGGATGATGAGCAAGAGGATGCGATTGAGGAGAGTGGGGAAGAGGCGGACGAGGGGGCGAGCGGACGAGCAGGGGGAAAAAAAAGCCGGAGTACGACGAGAAGAGGGAGGAAGAAGCAGTTGTTCCCTCGCACGGATCCCTATAAGAAATTGTTCGCATTGCTGGAAGTGCCCCATTGAGAGACAATCAGTCGTGCCAACACACCATTCCTGGGACTTCAACGTCGCGAGTCAACGTGATTGTTGCGTCTTGACAATGCGAAACCCCACGAATTCTTGAGCATATTTTTTTGACGAATGCCTGCGGCGCTCAGGCGAGAAAGAACCACATTCTGAAAGAGAGCCGCCCTCCGACCTTGAAGCTGCAGCAAGCTTTGAAAACGAATGTGCGCGGCGCTAAGGTGAGAGTTACTGAACGGACCCGCCGTCCATCCCCGAACAAGCTGCAGACTTGTGAGACGAATGCGCGCGGCGCTACGGCGAGAGCTCCATTTTGAAAAGCCCTCCATCATTGAAACTGTTGCGAATATCAACCTTCACGCACATAAGTGGTGAAGAAATCGCAGGCGGCCCGCCCGGCCCGCCCTACCGACGCGTCTGCGGGCACGACAGGGAGGAGTTATTTATAAGGACGAGAAATTTACGACGTCGCCGACGACGAGGACGAGGATGAGGACGAAGACGTCAACGACGACGATGACGACGACGACGTCGACGACGTCGACGACGACGACGTCGACGACGACGACGACGACGACGACGATGACGACGACGACGACGACGGACGACGACGACGACGACGACGACGACGGCGACGACGACGACGACGAGGCCGACGACGAAAATGGCGATGGCGACGACGAAGGCGCCGAGGAGGACGACCCCGACAACAACGACGGCGACTGCGACGACGACGACGGCGACGACGACGACGACGACGACGGCGACGACGACGACGACGACGACGACGACGGCGGAGGCGGCCGTCGCCGCTTTGGCACCCGCGCCGCCGCAGCGGCGCGAGGGCGGCCCCGGCCCGGCGGAGCTCCACGAGCGCGGCGCCCGCCACGTCCAGCTCTCCGGGGTCGCCTGAGCGCGCGGCGGCGCCGTGCTGCCTCGCGGCTGCGCCTCGGCCGCAGCGTCGCCTACGACTCTCAGTGGGCGGACGGAACCCAATCTGCCCACAACGCCTTCCTGCTTCGTGTGTTTCTACCTGCTTCTGCCGACCGATGGATACGTCTGCCCATGTCTTCTGCAGTATGGAGTTTCGGGCTCCCTTCCCCAGAAGCCCGAGGCGCACTGGATATGGATAAATCTGCCCCCTGGAGGCTAGTTTTTTTTGATATCCAGTGCGCATCGGCCTCGTGGCGCCCCTTCCAGGATGTCCAAGACGCGCTGGCTCTGGTTATATAGATCTTGCCCGCAGAGGCGGAGGAGGGGGGAAGACGAATATGAGGAGGAGTGGGAGGTGCAAACGTCAGCTGTTCAGGAGGAGGAGGAGGCGGAGGGGGAGACCCCACTGGACATGCAGGGAAAAGGGGGGCGACCCCCATCACTGGGGCTCGGAGCAGGGGCTTCAAGAGGTGCCGTCGGGAGGAGGAGGAGGAGGAGGAGGAGGAGGACGAGGAGGAGGAGGAGGAGGTGGAGGATTAGTATCAGGAGGGAGGAGGAGGACGAGGAGGGGGAGGAGGAGGAGAGGAGGGGAGGAGGAAGAGGAGGAGGAAGGAGGAGGAGGAGATGGAGGAAGAGGAGGAGGAGGAGAAGCAGGAAGAGGAGCAGGAGAGCGCAGGAGGAGGAGGGACGGAGAGGAGGGAGGAGCAGGAGCAGGAGAAGGAGAAGGAGAAGGAGAAGGAGCAGGAGCAGGACCAGGAGGAGGAGGAGGAGAGGTAGGAGGAGGAGGAAGAGCAGGAGCAGGAGCAGGAGCAGGAGCAGGAGCAGGAGCAGGAGCAGGAGCATGCAAGGAGCAGGAGGAGGAGGAGGAGAAGGAGGAGGACACGAGGAGGCAGGCGAGGATGAGGAGCAGGGAAGCGGATGAGAAGGAGGCAGACGAGGAGGAGGAGGAGGAGGAGGAGGAGGAGGAGGAGGAGGAGCAGCCGAGGAAGAGGAGCTGGGAGGAGGAGGAGGAGGAGGAGGAGGAGGAGGAGGAAGAGGAGGGGAGAGGAGGAGGTGAAGGAAAGAGGAGGGGAGGAGGTGCGAGAGGAGGAGGAGGAGGAGGAGGAGGAGGAGGACGAGGAGGTTGAGGAGGAGGAGGAGGAGGAGGAGGAGGAGGAGGAGGAGGAGGAGGAGGGGCAGGAGGAGGCTGGGCGGCGCCGCTGGGTCCGGTGCAGGAGGCGGATGGAGGGGGCGGGGGCTGGGCGCGGGCGGCGCACAGAAGCGGTGCCTCTCCATCGGCGCGATCGGGGACACGTTCAGAGAAGGAGGGAGCGACAAGCCGGCCCTCTGGACCACAGGGACGGGGAGGACAGCGGGTCGGCCAGGGGTCGATGATCCTCAGGGCGTGTTTTTTAGCCCAAGGTAGGTTGACTCCGCTCAGCTCCACCAGTAGCGCGCAGCCTGTGTCGGCTCCCGTTTCAGCGCCTGCGTCGTGTTGGAGGGCTTCGGTGGACAAGCACACGTTGGCGCTAGCACGCGTTCTGTGGATCATCGACTCTGTATCACAGGGATGGAGAGGACAGCGGGTCGGCCAGGGGGCCACGCGGGAACGCTTTCGTTGCGTTGGCTCCTCCTCTTGTTCCTCCCGCTCCTGCGTTTTGTCCTCCTCGTCCTCGCCCTCTTGCGCCTCATCTCCCTGTTTCCTCTCTTCGTCCTCTTCGACCTTGTCATCCTCCCCTTCCCGTCCATGCTCTTGACCGTAGAATGGATTGTTCTGTCCAGGCCCGTTGCTTGCGAGTCGCAGGCCGATCTCACATTTAAGCGGGCGTGTCTCTTTGAAGTCCAGTTGTACAGAGTGGACTCTCTCTCTCTCTCTCTTCTCTCTCTCTCTCTCTCTTTGCTCGACGCGGTGGGTCGGGGGGGCGGTAAGGAGAAGACATTTTCCGACCATGATTACGATGGTGATGTTGATGATGAGGAGGAGGAGGAGGAGGAGAAGGAGGATGGGGATGGAGATGAGGATGCTGATGCTGATGCTGCTGCTGATGATGATGATGATTGTAATGATGATGGTGCAGCTGATGATGATGATGATGATGATGATGATGATGATGATGATGATGATGATGATGATGATGGTGCTGATAATGATGATGATGATGATGATGATGATGATGATGATGATGATGATGATGATGATGATGATGATGATGATGATGATGATGATGATGATGATAATGGTGACGGTGATGGTGTGGTGATGATGATGTTGATGGTAACGGTGATGGTGATGATGACGGTGATGATGATAATGATGATGATCATGATTATGATGATGTTGATGGTTATGATGCTGATGCCGATGCCGATGCTGCTGATGCTGCTGCTGCTGATGATGATGATGATGATGGGGAGGAGGATGAGGATGAGGACGGAGAGAGAATCTGGAGCCATGTTTCAGGGGTCCAACTGCCTGGGGGGGGTGTATCGGGGGTTGGTTCTTCGGGCGTCTACGCGCTACGCGGGTGGCAACTGTTGCTCCCGCCCCTTATGTGGGCCCTCGGGTGTCCCCAGCTCTTCCGACTCTGGCTCATTCGGCGCCGAATAAGGCTGGTCGTTTTGTTTCTTGTGCAAGGTCGCCGAATGAGACCAGATCGGGAAAGCGGACCGCATGCAAAAAACATGATTAGAACCCATGGGTGCATGAGGCCAGGGTTCGCCGAATGGGCCTGGTTGGATTGCAGAATGGGCCCAGAGATTTCGCAGATCGATTTTTTCAATTCGGTCCCGTTCAGCACGCCGAGCGGGACCGGAAACCGGCCGAATGTGACCCGATCCACCTCCATGGAATTGGATTCGGCCGAATGGGACCGGATCCATCCGAATCGGACCAGATATATAGTATTCTTCCGGAAGTTCCGCCGATCGTGACAGGAAGCAGTCCAATAATTCGTAACAAAGGAAAACAGTAAGACTTCCATGTATGTATCTGTCTTTGCGTTTCTTTGTTGCCACTTTCGAGGGTTGCTGGGCCGCATGGGTTCAGCAGATAGTCCCGGAGGCAAGCCCGACTGAGTTTTGCAATTACTCTTTCGAGAGTCGTTGGAGTACATGTTGAGGGTTCCTTGAAAGAGTTCTTCTGGGGGGGGGCACTGACGCAAGCTCCGCGGGGGGACCTCTGATACCTAGAGGAGCTCATGTATACCTCGCCCATGGGGAATCGTCCGCTACTGCAGCATATTCCATCACCAGCGCGAGCAATAGCGCCATCACCAGCGTCGTCATCGACATCGGCGCCAGCAGCGCCATCATCGCTGACGCCGCCCGCTGCATCGGCATGGCTGTCTGTCCTCCGATCCCGCTGTCCCCCTGGGCGACAATAGTGTTGAGTCGGGCACGTCCATCTGCAGGAGGATTATTAATACATAATCTAAAAATAGTCTGGGGGCGATTCTTTGACCATTTTGGCTATTTGGGGACATTTTTACCATTTTTCCCTATCTAGAAGGGTTCTTGCTCTCTTGGCTTAAAGGGCCGGGCAGTGGGAACCGGCCCGGGCGGTTCCCCCAGTATCCGCCCCGCGGTTCTCCCAGTTACGTCCCCTTAGCTTAGCGTTGCTTATCTCATCTTAGCTTAGCTTATTTCATCTTAGCTTAGCTTAGCTTCATCTTAGCTCAGGTTTATCTTAGCTTAGCTGACCTTCATCTTAGTTTCGCTGAGCTTTAGCATAGCAGAGCACAGCATAGCATAGCAGAGCGTAGCATAGCATAGCGCAGCATAGCATAACATAGCATAGCCCAGCATATAATAGCAGAGCGCAGCATAGCATAACATAGCGTAGCATAGCGCAGCGTAGCACAGCACAGCATAGCATAGCGCAGCATAGCATAGCATATCATAGCATATCATAGCACATCATAGCACAGCGCAGCTTAGCATAGCATAGCATAGCATATCATAGCATAACATAGCACAGCGCAGCATGACATACCATAGCTTAGCATAACATAACATAGCGCATCATAGCATGGCATGGCATGGCATAGCATAGCACAGCATAGCATATCATAGCATAGCATATCACAGCATAGTATAGCATAGCATAGCATATCGCAGCATAGCATGGCATAGCATAGCATAGCATAGCTAATAATGCTGCTTTCCTAGGGACTCCAACTTCTAGGTAGGGTCGCACTGGGGTAATTTATTTTTCCTCCAAAATCCGCCTGGAGGAGGACATGCCCGACCTAACAGTAGTGTAATTAGCGGATCTGATATTTCAGAGTATTCCCTAGTCCCCGTTGTGGAGAGGTTCACCCTGCCCCCTTTCCCGAATTCAGATCCGCCGTACGTTGTTCGACGTCCGATTTCAACTTGTGTCGGAAATGCACCCCAAACGATGCGAAAAAGTAGCTCGGAAGTTTCCGCCTCGGACCCGCAAAGGCATGGCGGAGACAGCGACGGCCAAGTAGGGCGGAAAACGGTATCAAAGGGGCTTGAAAAGTGTAGGGCCGGGATTCCGCCCGATTTCCGAAGACGCCCGAAGTACGGTGGATCCGAGGTCAGGGCCTTCACTTTTGGGGGAGAGGCTCACCCTGCCCCCTTCCGGTGGAGGGCCGGACGCTCCTCAAAACGTGGGGCGTCCTACCGCGCAGCACGTGGCCCAGGACGGCTTCCAGCACGGCTCCCAGAGGCCCCGCGACGGCCCCAAGGTGGCTGCGATCCAGAGCCTTCCGCCTGGCACGGCTGCCGAAGTTGTGAAGTCAGGCCCGTCGGGCCCGTCGCCGCTTCGCCCGCTCCGCTCCTCCGCGCACCTCCCCGCTCCACTCCGCTCCTCCCTCCCGCTCCTCCCCAGGCCTGCAGGCGCCGCCCCACGCCTCCGCACTCCTCCCTGCGTCTCTCTCCGCGATCCACTCTGCCCCGTTCCGCCCGGCTCCTCCGCACTCCTCTCCAGCCCGCTCCGATCCTCCCCGCTCCTCGCTCAACTTCTCACAAACCCCACGGGCACGCCACTCCCCCCCACCCCCGGGTCCCCCGCTCCTCCGCACTCCACTCCTCCCTACTCCTCCCTACTCCTCCCCACCCCTACCCCCCCCCAATTTCTCCCCACTGCTCTCCTCCTGACCACTCCCCTACTCCCCACTCATCCGCACACCCGTCCGTCCCGAACCCCCGAGCGTATTCCTTCCCCCCCCCCTGCCCTTCTGCAATGCAAGCAACCCCGTTGCACGCCATTCACACCGCTCCTACTTTCTCCACTCCACCACACTCTCCTCCCGACTCGCACTTGACTCCTCCCCGTGCGTCCACGCTCCTCCTTGCTCTGGAGCTCAAGACGGGAGGGTCCGAAGTCGGCCCAGGGACAGTTCCACAATGGCCCAGGACGGCTGCAGGAGTGCCCAAGGTTGACCGAGCGCGCTCCATTACTCGCAAAGTGCCTACTCGCGAATGTTCGAAAAATATTTGTTCGCTTTGATGTAACCTATCGTAAATCCCCCGCGGCGGGTCGAGGCCATTTGCGAGTAGTTCCGTTGCGAGTAGTGGAACGCGCTTCTCTGAAGGTTGACTCGCACGCGTTTCTTGCGTGGTCCTGGCGCTTCTGGCGCCTTCGGCGCAGCTTGCGCACCTGGCGCCGTGCGGTGTGCTTCGCGCGCGCGGCGCCACCTGGCGCGCACATGCGCCCCTGGCGCGCCTCGAGCGCCCGCGCTGCCCTTCGCGCATGCGGCCCACTCGGCGCGTCTGGTTTGTCGTCGTCGTCGGCGTCGGCGTCGGCATTGGCGTCGGCATCGGCGTCGGCGTCGCCGTCGCCGTTGCCGTCGTCGTCGCCGTTGCCGTCGTCGTCGTCGCCGTCTCCGTCGCCGTCGTCGTCGCCGTCGTCGTCGTCGTCGTCGCCGTCGTCGTCGTCGTCGTCGTCGTCGTGTCGTCGCGGCCTCCCCTGGCCCCCCTGCCCTGGCCTCCCGGCCGCCCAAGGGTGGGCCAAGGGCGCGCGGCGCCACCTGGCGCGCCTGGCACACTGGGGCGATGGGAGAATGTGGTGGCCAATCACGCGTTGCGTTGCGAAAAAGTCACGACGGGAGTTTTTCCGCAATTTTCGGCCTCCGTGGGCCCTCACCGGGCCCCGGGACCGTCAAAAACGATTCAGGATGAAAAACCGGTCTTGGGGAATGGGTCGAGACCTTTGGGGGTCGACGTTGTGAAATAATCGGGTCGGACGAAGATTCGGTCGCAGGTCATGGGAGCCTGGTATACCCTGTTCAATCCGTCTTTAGCGTCGATTAGCGTCGATTGGCGTCTGGGAGTCGATGAGAAAGCGCCGATCCAGCGTCGGTCAGGGTCAATCAAGGGTCAACTTGGCGTCGAGGAGCGTCGAGTCAGCCTCGACCAGCGTCGATTTGCAAGAGCCGACAAGATGGTATGGGGGGCTCACATGATCACCGAACGCGTTCCACTACTCGCAAAGTGCCTACTCGCAAAGGCCTAACAAAACATGTCTGCTGCGATGTAATGTATCGTAGATCCCCCTCGGCGGAACCAGGCCGTTTGCGAGTAGTTACTTTGCGAGCACTGGGACGCGCTCGTCTACACGAGCTGCCACCGAAGGAGGAGACGGGGTCGATGGCGCCGACGTCCGCGCGCAAGCTGCCCGCGCAAGTTCGCGCGTGCGCAGGCGCCCTCGTCTCCAGTGCAGCGGGCCGCGCCGGCGGCCCGCGCAAGCCGCGGCGTGTGGCCTCTGTGGCATCTCGCGCAAGGCCCGCTTGCTTTGGTCGCTTACCTGGCATGCGCCCACACACGAAGCTGGGAAGCATGAGAGAGTCTTGCAGAGCGGGCCCAGTCGTCGCGTCGTAACAGAAATCAGGACGGGAGGTTTTTGGCTACTTTAGGCCTCGGGGGGCCCTCGCCGGGCCTCGGGACCGTCAAAAAACGACGCAGGGTGAAACACCGGTCCCGGGGAAAGGGTCGGGACTTCCAGGGACGCCGTCCTGAAAAAAACAGGACGTCGCACGTCAGGGAATGTATGCTGCTGGATGGGCCCGAGCGCAGACGAATGGTGCCGGGTCGCTCGAGGAATGGAACCGGATGTGCCCGAGTGGGACCCCAGACGCTTCGCCGAAGGGGATTGCCCCCGCGCTCAAGGCGACCTCCAGCCGGACGGGCCCAGAAGGAGCGGGCGCATTCGGGGCCGTGTCTCCTGTGGGTTTCGAGGATGTCCTGAGCGAGAGCAGCGTTCTCTTTGTCATCAGTTCGGTTTCCTACCGCGCGCCGCGTGGGCCCCAGCACTCGGAAGAGCCGGGTCCCAGGAGGTCTCCGGAGCCCCGGAGGAGTCCAGAGGCCCGACGAAGCTTCAGACACGTCCGATTGCAGCAACATTTTTTTTTGCTCTCAGTGGGGAAACCAAGCGCGGGCACGGCACGACACAGTTTTCGCACCCTGGAAACCAAGCACGGCGCGGCACATGCCTCCAGTATGGCACGGCACGGCATGCGGGCACGGCACGGCACGTGGGCGCCGCGCAATGAGGGGGCGATCGATGAGGGGGCAGCGAGGGCCACAGAACAGGGGCCCATGTGAGGGCCCATGTGAGGGCCCTCCAGGCCCCAAAGGGGACCTTTCGGGCCCGAGTAGTGCACCTTTCTCCCCCCCACCTTGAATTTTTGTCGCCCCCCCCCAATCGCGCGACGCTCAAGGCACGGCTCCTGTCGTCGAAGTCTGGCAGCCGAGCACGGCACGGCGAGCACGGCACGGAGCGCGGCACGGCACACGCGAGAGACATGATCTGTTCCTGCGCAGCAGGCGCGGAGCGCGGCCCGGCAAGCGAGCGCAGCACGGCCATCTGATCCCTCTCGCTTCGCGGGGTGCACGTCCGGAGCGCGTACAGTCCAGTCGTTGTCGGGCCTCTGGGAACTTCTTGGGGGCCCCTTGGAGGCCTCTTTGGGGCCTCTTGGGTCCTCGCGGGGGCGTCTGGGAGGCCTCTGGAGGGGCCTCTGGGAGGCCTCTTAGGGGCCTCTCGGAGCCCCGTGTGGGCGTCTTGGGGGCGCTCTTGCGCTGTCTGGTCCCTTCGGAGACTGTCTTGGGGTACTCTTGGGCCGTCTTGGGGGCCTGTTGGGGCATCTCGGCGGCCTCTTTGCCATCTGATTCCTCAGGCTTACGCCACATCCGCCGAACCCCTAAGTGTAGAATGTTCCTGTGGTTTTTGGGGGTGGCCCGGGGTGATGATGATATAGCTAAAAGCGAGAGGGTGGGTTTCGGGATGCCTTAAGGGCATCGTGGGCCGCCCGGAGGCCGTCCTGCGCGCGGCCTGGCACGCGGGAAGACATTTGTTCTGCGCAGTAGAAACGGAGCGCGGCACGGCAAGCGAGCGCAGCACGGCCAGTTTCAAGGGAGGAGAACCCCCCCAGATCCCAACAATTGGCATCTACCAAAAAGCGGCCCTGGGCGTTTCCTGAACAGCCCTGCCCCGTTCGATTCCTCCCCTGGGCGCGTTTACTCAACGTCTTCGTCCGTCGGGGTGCTTCTTGTGGGGTGGATTTTCCGCCCTCTACAATTGGGGGTGAATCTCCTGCCCTCTACAGCTGATTTTTCTCACCTCGAGACACCAGGGCCACCGACAACAAAGAAGCGATCTGGACCCCTTCCAGCATGAGTGGTCTGGGACCGAAGCCTCTCTCGGCCCTCAAGGGTCGAGGGCACAGCTTGGCATTATGGTGGGTATTTGTCCTGCTCTCTCTTCCCTCCTCCTCCTCCTCCTCCTCCACCTCCTCCTCCCCTCACCTCCTCCTCCTCCTCCTCCTCCTCCTCCTCCTCCTCCTCCTCCTCCTCCTCTAATTACCTCGTCTGCCCCTCTTCCTCCCCCTTCCCTTCTCCCTCCTCCTGCACGGGAAGAGCGTTACCTCGCACAGCACGGTCTGATGATGATGATGATGATGATGATGATGATGATGATGATGATGATGATGATGATGATGATGATGATGATGATGATGATTATTGATTATTGATTATTGATGATGATGATGATGATGATGATGATGATGATGATGATGATGATGATGATGATGATGATGCTGATGCTGATGCTGATGCTGATGCTGATGCTGATGCTGATGCTGATGCTGATGGTGATGCTGATACTGATGCTGATGCTGATGCTGATGCTGATGCTGATGGTGATGGTGATGGTGATGATGATGATGGCGATGCTGATGATGATGATGATAATAGTGATGATGATGATGATGATGATGATGATGATGACGATGATGATGATGCTGATGGTGATGATGATGCTGATGGTGTTGATGCTGCTGATGATGATGATGCTGACGATGATGAGGATGCTGATGATGATGATGATGGCGATGCTGATGATGAAGCTGCTGACGACGATGATGATGACGATGGCGATGATGATGCTGATGAGGTTGATGATGCAGATGATGATGCTGATGATGATGAGGATGATGCTGATGATGATGGCGATGCTGCTGATGATGATGATGATGATGATGATGCTGACTATGATGATGATGATGATGGTGATGCTGATGATGATGATGATGATGATGATGCCGCTGATGCTGCTGCTGATGCTGATGATGATGCTGCGGATGCTGATGATTATGCTGCTGATGATGGTGCTGCTGCTGATGATGCTGATGCTGATGCTGATGATGCTGATGCCGAACATGATGGTGTTGATGATGCTGATGATGATGATGATGATGATGATGATGATGATGATGATGTGGATGATTCAGATGTCGATGATGCTGATGATCAAGATGATGCTGCTGATGCTGCTGATGAGAATGATGATGATGATGCTGATGATGATGATGATGCTGATGCTGACGATGATGCTGATGATGCTGATGGTGATGATGCTGATGATAATGATGCTGATGCTGTTGATACTGCTGATGATGCTGGTGATGATGCTGATGCTGATTCTGATGATGATGCTGATGATGCCGCCGATGATGATGATGATGATGATGATGATGATGATAATGTTGCTGATGATGCTGCTGATGCTGATGATGTTGATGATGATGCTGATGAGGATGGCGATGCTGCTGATGGTGATGCTGATGACGATGATGATGCTGATGATGATAATTCTGACGATACGGATGATGATGGTGATGATGCTGATGCTGCTGATGCTGGCGATGAGGATGATGCTGCGGATGATAAGGTTGATGAGGATGACACTAGTGGTGATGATGCTGCTGATGCTGATGATGATGCTGATGCTGATGATGCTAATCATGATGCTGATGATGCTGATGATGATGATGCTAATGATGATGATGATGATGATGATGATGATGATGATGATGATGATGATGATGATGATGATGCGGATGATGCTGCTCATGATGATGCTGCTGATGATGATGGCGTTGCTGATGATGATGCTGAGAATGATGGTGCTGCTGATGATGCTGATGCTGATGCTGCTGATGATGACCATGAGGATGCTGATGATGATGATGATGATGATGATGATGATGATGATGGTGTTGGTGCTAATGTTGATGCTGATGGTGCTAATGATGACGCCAATGATGATGCTGATGATGATGCTGATGATGCCGCTGATGATGATGATGATGATGATGATGATGATGATGCTGTTGCTGATGCTGATGATTATGCTGATGATGCTGATGATGATGATGCTGAGGATGATGGCGATGCTGACGATGGTGATGCTGACGACGATGCTGCTGATGCTGGTGCTGATAATCATGATGATGGTGATGATGCTGATGCTGACGATGCTGACGATGCTGATGCTGATGAGGAGGATGCTGCTGATGACGATGCTGACCTCACTAGTGAGGATGATGCTGCTGATGCTGATGATGCTAATGCTGATGATGCTGCTAATGATGACGATGCTGATGATGATGATGATGATGATGATGATGATGATGATGATGATACTGCTGATGTTGATGACGATGCTGATGCTGATGGTGATGATGGTGATGATGATGATGATGATGATGATGATGCTAATGATTACGCTAATGATGCTGATGCTGATGCTGATTATGATGCTGATGATGCTGATGATGTTGCGAATGATGATGCTGATGATGTCGCTGGTGATGCTGATTATGATGCTGGTGATGAGGCTGATGATGATGCTGATGAGGGTGATGATGATGATGCTGATGATACTGCTGCTGATGCTGACGATGATGGCGATGCTGACGATGCTGATGCTGACGATGATGCTGATGATGACGATGGTGATGATGATGATGATGATGATGATGATGATGCTGGTAATGATGTTGATGCTGCTGATGCTGATGATGATGCTGATACTGATGATGCAGCTGATGCTGCTGATGATGATGTTGGTGATGATGTTGCTGATCAAGATGATGATGCTGCTGATGATGCTGATATGATGCTGATGAGGCTGCTGCCGATGATGATGCTGATGATGCTGATGATCATGATGCTGATGATGAAGAATATCAAGATGATGATGATGCTGCTGACGATGCTGATGATGCGGATGATGCTGCTGATGCTGATGACGATGCGGATGCTGACCATGATGATGCTGATGATGATGACGATGATGATGATGATGCTGATGCTGATGATGCCGCCCATGATGCTGATGATGCCGATGATGCTAATGATGATGCCACTGATGATGATGATACTGATGATGCTGATGATGATGCTGATGACGTTGATGATGATGCTGATGATGATGATGATGCTGATGAGGGTGATGCTGATGATGATGGCGATGATGATGATGATGATGATGATGATGATGATGATGATGATCATGATGATGATGATGATGATGATGATGATGATGCAGACGGTGATGATGGTGATGCTGATGTTGATGCTGATGATGATGGTGATGATGCTGATGCTGATGCTGACGCTGATGATGCTGATGATGTTGATGATGATGATGATGATGATGTTGATGATGATGATGATGATGATGATGATGATGATGCTGATGATGATGATGATGATGATGATGATGATGATGGTAACGATGCTGATGATGCGGATGCTGATGATGATGATGCTGATGATGGTGATGCTGCTGATGATGACGATGCTGATGCTGCTGATGCTGATGATGTTAATGATTATGATGCTAATGATGATGCTGATGCTGATGCTGATGCTGATGCTGATGCTGATGCTGATGATGCGAAAGATGATGCCAATGATAATGCTGATGATGATGCTGATGATGCCGTTGATGATGCCGCTGATGATGATGATGATGATGATGATGATGATGATGATGATGATGATGATGATGCTGATGATGATGCTGATGCTGATGCTGATGCTCATGCAGATGATGCTGATGATGCTGATGATGATGCTGATGATGATGCTGATGATGCTGATGATGACGAGGCGGCCGAGGGGGAGGAATGGGGCGAGGAGGGCCGAGATCCGTGCAGCCCGCTGTCAGATCCGCTGCCTCCGCACCTGGCGGCCTGCGCGGTGCTCTGGGCTGCACGCGCGCGGCTAGGAAAGACGCGACCGGCGGCGCAGGCGTGCACAAAAAGGTTGGCCAGGAGGAGCAGCAGCACCGAGCCCCACTGTCGGTGGTTCAAGGATGGGATCTTGAGGGATGGGGGATGGGGCCCGAAGGATAGGAAGGGATCCCAGGTTGGACGTACGTTGTTTGAGGCACCTCGTCCTGAGGACACCAGCCCTCAGGACCCCATCTTTGAAACACCGACACTGCCAGAGCCCCAATTGGCACGGAGCACGCTTGCCCGTCGCCCAGGGTATGGGCACAGCGCGCCCTACCTGCGCGCACGACCAGACCAGGGAAGGGTCCCCTTCCTGTTACTCCTGCTGCTGGTCCGCCTCCGCCTTCCGCTCGAAGTGGTGAAATCACGCCTGGCAGGGGCTCTCGCAGTTCTCTTCGCTACCTTGACCCTTATTCTTCAGGCCGTGGAGGATCGATTTCGGAGGTACCTCGTCGTGTCTAGACAGCTCGCATGGGTTACTCCATGCTCCAGGGTTCCTGGCAGCAGTGCCCGGATGTTCGCTGGACGAGTATGTGTGCCGTCTTGTTGTCGAATGTGTCTCGACTTCTGGCGCTATCTCTTCAGCTTTGCAGCAAGTTGGTGCGTACAGCCGTTAGACGTTGCACAGACATGCATGGCCCGCCGCTTTCTGTGTGGAAGCTCTTGCCATCATGAACGGGGGGGCCGGTTATCAGACCATGACTAACTCCTTGGTGTCGCTCAAATTGCCAGTGATTTCTTTGTCCATGGCGCTGAGTTTGCTGCGCGAAGTGCTGGCAATGTGAGTTCGCTATGCCCACAGTCTCTGAGTGGGAGCAGCTCCAGAGTGAATTTGTTGAGCTTGCCCGCGTGGGCGTTTGCCACTCACGCCGCGCGCATTCCAGAGCAACTGGCGGTGATATTTTGAGATGAAGACGTGCGCTGAGTTCTCTTTTCGGTCAACGTTACACCGTGGACGTTCCCCTTTCCACCTCCCGCCCCCCTTCCTTCTCACACGACCCGTCCCCCTCTTCCCACCCTCCCCTGTTCCGCCCCCCCCATCCCAGTCCATCTCTTGTACGGCACAGGAAGATACCAGTTTTTCGGTCGGGCCCCTGCGTTGGTAAAGGGCGTTCCAGGGGCCCGGATTCTGCAGTTTGCCACATCATGGTTGGCTGGATTTGGGTTTTGTTTTGGGTGGCCGTCCCCTCTT